AGTACAGTGTTTAAAACGGTTGATTCATCTATAAAAGAGTCGACTCATAGTGCTTCAAACGAGTCGCCTTGATACCGACTCATTAGGTGTTTCGCCATGACGTACGAATGAAACCAAGTTATTCACGTGCACGCGCAAACCCGGGAGATTTCAAACCTGAGGCCCCGCCCTCTGACGCAGAAACCCAGACACACACCCACAAACACACGCACACCCACAAACACACGCACACAAACATGCCGGTCGATTGAAGTCACACTGCAGATGGATATATTGAGTCTCTACCCAAAGATGAAACCTCAGCATTATAACCAAGCAGTTGGAAACTTCTAGAAGCTACAGGCTACAAAGAATACTTCATCTGAGTTTGTTAAAGGAAGGATCAGTACAGAGTAACTTACTGATGGACGTCAGGATGGGTTTCTTCCATTTCTCAAGTGTAAGTACGTGCGGTTAAAGTTGTTGCCTCGTTTACTCTTGCTTGCAAATGTATTTAGTTGTGATTTGTTACTTGTAACCGCGTTTACTGTATCAGGTTAACTGGATATTTTATCTTATCGCGTGCAAAGTCACGTTAAAAACGCGACGCGTGCTGTTTGTTTATGGAGCTCCGTGCTAGAGTTCTGCTCCCGCAATTTATTCGGAAATTTATTCCCGCGCCGCAGAAATCTGGCGCGGGGACAGCCGCGGGAATAAATTTCCTAATAAATCGCGGGAGCGGTCGGTAACGGGTTTAATTTGGGACGGGAGCGGGCTGTCTAGCAATATCACGGATATTGCTATGCGAATTAGAAAGAGAGAGTCTGCGTGGTGCTTGTGTGTGTGTTAGTGCGCACGCGCGCGTATGAGAGAGAGAGAGAGAGAGAGAGAGAGAGCGAACGAACGAACGACAGCTTGGCTGTCTGGACTGTATACTGGGTGATAATTGGTTGTGTTCTCCGCTCTAGCGGGACCGGGCGCGGCGGGCAGAAAACGGAGCGGGTTCTCAGGCTAAAACCTGGGCGGGTGCGGGCGGAAGCGGGAGCGTGTCATCCGGAGGTGTGTGTGTGTTTTTGTGTGTGTGTGGTATGGCCAGTACACGACTGTCTCCTTCGTTCGGTTATCCGTGGCACTATCCACTCGCCATAGTGTGGCAGCTAAAGTCCACGCCTACACTATCGAGCGTGTATGAACTGTGATTACTTTTTAAATTGCTGATTAGCTATTGGCCATTTCCCTCTCTGACTGAAGGCAGTCGACCAATCGCGACAGACTGTCATCGGTCCAATCAGCGCAGATTAGCTCCGCGCTAAGGAGGGGTTTGGGAACAAATGAATCACTGGACGATTCATACAGGAGTCGCTGGGATAATTGGGTAAAAATAAATGCAGATTATAAGACCATGAAAGTGTTTTTTGACCTTGCATGCATATTAGACTGTTGTTGGAGACCCTTACAACCAGGATATGACCCTATTTCATGTATAATATGGGCTCTTTAAAGAAAATATCATTGCTTTAAATAGAAAAATAACATTTACTGAAATAAAATATTAAATCTGTTCTGTTTGCCACGAAAGGATTTTATTTTTTATTTATTTTAAGTACTAAATAATATTTTTAAATATTATAATTTTCACCTGCTATATCCAATAATATATCTAATGAGTCATTTATTTTAAGTATTCAATTTATTTAAAAACAGCTATGTTTTATTTTAATTTAACTTTTGTTTATTTTATTTGAGATTAGTTATTTTTAAGAAGATATTTCATCTCTTTTTATTTTAGAATTTGGTTTTAGGCATATTTAATTAAATTATAATGATTTATACATGTATTTTCCTCATTAATTTCATTTCATTTCATTTTCTTGTCGGCTTAGTCCCTTTATTAATCCGGGATCGCCACAGCGGAATGAACCGCCAACTTATCCAGCAAGTTTTTACGCAGCGAATGCCCTTCCAGCCACAACCCATCTCTGGGAGACATCCACACACACACACACACACACACACACACACACACTCATACACTACGGACAATTTAGCCTACCCAATTCACCTGTACTGCATGTCTTTGCACTGTGGGGGAAACCGGAGCACCCGGAGGAAACCCACACGAAGGCAGGGAGAACATGCAAACTCCACACAGAAGCGCCAACTGAGCTGAGGATTGAACCAGCAACCTTCTTGCTGTGAGGCGAATGTGCTACCCACTGCGCCACTGTGTTGCCTTTCCTCATTAATTTCTAACATTTAATTCATTTTATTTTTTAAATTAATAATTTATTTTAAATGTTAAAATAAAAAAAATTATGAGTTATTTTTTTATTTATTTAATTTATTTTACTTTTCATTTGCACTGCTTGAGTGGCAAAACAGCAGAAAACCACATTTGATTAAATAAATTTATACATATACAATTTTCCACATTTATTTCTAACATATTTAATACATTATAATTTTTTATTATTTATTTATTTAATTAATTGAAAGAGTATTTTATTTTATTTTTCCTTTGCACTACCAATAACAGTGGCAAACCCCCAGAAAAGCACATTTGATCACATTGATTTATACATATATTAAATTTTCCACATGAATTTTTAACCTATTTAATTATTTTGGATTTTTTTATTATTTACATATTTTTTGATTTAATTATTTATTTATTTACAATTATTTATTAATTATTTTGTGTATTTATACGTTTTTTTTATTTATTTGTTTATTTTGTTTTATTTTATTTCTCCTTTGCACTGCCAAAAACAGTGGCACAACCCCAGGAAAGCACATTTAATTTTTTTAATTTATACATATATAAAATTTTTCTCATTAATTTCTAACCCATTTAATTCATTTTCATTTTTAAGTTATTTTTTTTTATTTAATTATTTGTTATTTTATTAAATTATTTTGATTTTTATTTCTCTCCTCAGCCCTCCTTTGCACTTCCAACAACAGTGGCACAACCCCAGGAAAGCACATTTAATTATTTTAATTTATACATGTATTACATTTTCCACATTAATTTATAACCCATTTAATTCATTTTCATTTTTAAATTATTATTATTATTTTTAATTTAATTATTTGTTATTTTATTTCATTATTTTGATTTTTATTTCTCTCCTCAGCCCTCCTTTGCACTTCCAACAACAGTGGCACAACCTCAGGAAAGCACATTTGCTATGTATTATCTCCGGGGCTCACACAAGCCTTTATGTGAGCACCTCAGAGGTCTCTGTTCATCCTCCATCAGATCCCTCAGAGAAAAATAAATCCTCCTGATCATTCTTCACACTCTCTCATCCTGGACTCTAGTAATTAAAGAGACAGGAGGTCACACTTTACAATAATGTTGTATCAGTTAATGCATTTACTAACATGAATAAACATTAATCAATGCATTCATTACCACATTCGTTAGTCTGTTAACTCACGGTGCATTAACTAATGTTATCAAGCATGAATTTGGATGTTAATAATGCATTAGTTGAACTCTAATTAATAAATGATGTACATGCATTGCTCTTAATTAAATCAGTAAATACATTAACTAATGAAGCCTTATTGTAAAGCATGGCCAGACAGGAGTGACAGAAAGTGGCTCAACTCAGACAACGTTTAGGTTCTCCATTGGCTCTCTATGTTAAATGTGAAAGATGGCAGCGCATCAAGAGCAGCTCTGAGCGACGGCTCCAAGAATGAAGCGGTTTTCAGAATGGAGTGTGCTGTTATTTTTTGCTGGTTTCTGCAGATGGAAAGCGTCTGTGTTAATGGATGGCAGCTTCGCTCCTCCAGACGTGTTGAAAGCTCCTCATCTGATATTTTTTCTCTTGTTTGTCTGGTTTCAGGTCCACACCAAGTTCCACTGCCGGCAGGCGCACGCCCCTGGATCAGACACGTCCAGCCTGTGCTTCTCCTATGACGGAGTCACTCTAGCGTCCAGAGGAGGTCAGAACAGCCCTGCATTAATGCACACAGTAAAATAGCAATAATCAACTTATGTTGACTAATAACCTTTTATTAACTTTTATATTTAACATATTGGTGGCTCAGCACTGTGGTCTCACAGCTGGTTCGAGTTGGCAATTCTGTGTGGAGTTTGCATGTTCTCCCTGTGTTGGCGTTGGTTTTCTCCGGGTGCTCCGGTTTCCCCCACAGTCCAAACACTGGCCGTAGTATATGAGTGTGTGTGTGAATGTGAGAGTGTATGGATGTTTCCCAGTACTGGGTTGCGGCTACAAGGGTATCCCTGCTGTGTAAAACATATGCTGAATAAGTTGATGGTTCATTTTACTGTGGCGTACTCTGAAATAGAGACTAAGCCGAAGGAAGCTGAATTAATTTAACATATTTATTTATTTATTTATTTATTTATTTAAACATATTTATTTCACATTTATTATTAACATAACAATTATAACCTTTTAATGACATTTAATTTATTTATTTATTTATTTAATGTATGAGTTATTTTATTTTACTGCAATAATGCACAAAATAAAATTAAAATAAAGTTATGGTAATTAATAACTTGAACTTTTCCGAATTGGATAGTAATGCAATAATGTGCATAAGCTGTTTTGAAACAGTAATTGTTCATTTGAATGTATTTATGTATGTATTTATTTATTTATTTATTTATTTATTTATTTATTTATTTATTTATTTATTCACATATTCACTTATTCACTTGTTTATTTTATTCTTTTTATTTATTTATTTTATTTATTTATTTGCTTATTTAATGTCTGATTTATTTAATGTCTGATTTATTGTCTATTTAATAGGTTATTTTTATTGCATTTAAAGTGAAATAACTTGACATAAACCTAGGAGGCTGAGAAAAACGCAACGTTTAGGGGAAAATTTCAGATGGTTTTTGCATCTGAACTCTTCATATATATATATATATATATATATATATATATATATATATATATATATATATATATATATATATATATATATATATATATATCTCTATCTCTCTCTCTCTCTCTCTCTCTCTCTCT